CATCTCATCGCCGCGATTGGTCCTGGGTCCCATCAAACTACGGTGGTTTTGTGTTGCTGAACTCCCGGAACAACAACGCATAACCACCCTGCGGCCTAGTCGCAACTATAGCTGTAGTGGCCGCAACAATAGCAGCCTCAGAAAGAGCAGCTTATCTCTCATCAAATGTCTCCATCAGAGTGGTCTGATAGACCCGAACATCTCTGGTATCTCTGCCCTAATGGCCATAACCACCTCCTCCTGGATGATCCTACGGATCTCCTCATCACCCGAACTGCCGATCACTGGTGTGTGGCGCATCCCAACCATGGTCTGCTTCTGAAATACAACATATGAATATTAGAGACTCTTTTCGAGTATAATCACACTCGATAACTCCACCCAACTCGTTCCTTGGTGCCCAAAGGATTCTTACTTAGACTGCGTACTAACCCGGTATCTTCAGTAGTACGGGCCCAATACTACCATCCATACCGCGTTGGCATTCATCCCAAGTCCTCCTCCTTGAGCCTCAAATCCCAAGTACTCTACTCTCTCTATCATGTGCTACTCACTAACAAAACTCTCATAAGCATTCGCTTCTATCTAAATCACTCTTAAGCATCTCTAGCAGCAAAACCCCTGGACTAAGGCATCATATATCAGGCCACTCTAGTCCTAATAAGAATACCTAGTCTACTCTAGCATGCATATCGTAACTCATCATATAGCATACATAACATATCTGGTAATCACTTATTATGAGGGTATTTTGGGAAATCACCGTTCGGGCACTGGCTGATCGTACACACAACTCTGCTCTGTTTGTCTGAAGACTCTTTTTACCCTTTTTCAAAAAAATATTAATTTTATTATTAAAAGTTTCCTCAAATCCCCAGTTTGAGTTCAGATATGCCCAAAGATATATCAGAATCCCTCAAACCAAGGCTCTGATACCAACTTGTAACACCGTAAAAATTTGAACAATTTTTCACTTTGTAACCCATAAAATATGTTTTGAAATCATAAATAAAACATTGTATCAACATTGCATTAGTACAAAACCCAAGATCAAAATATATATATATATATATGTATAAACTTCGGTGTGCGTGTGTACGAATCATGTCGGTGCCTTCCCGCGATCATCACTGGTACCTGAAACACATAACACATAACACTGTAAGCATAATGCTTAGTGAGTTCCCCAAAATACCACTCTAACACATAATAGCCACTCAAGGCTGTAACTCTGTTGACCCTTAGTTCTATGTGTCTCAGTAGGGCCATCCAACCCCAACTCTCTATTGACCCTCTTTCCTACTCTGTGGACCTAAAGGATCTAACTCTGTGGACCCGAAAGTCCTAACTCTGAATCATGCATAACACATATCACAGTAAATCATAGCACATAAAAACATGAAATTGCACTGGCATACAACTCTAAAATACTCTATCTCATAACTCTGTTACCACACTAGGTAAAGTATAGTGAGAAGACTCACCTCAGGCATCTCGGTAAATCTCTGACTCGGTAGGAATATTGCCTAGTCTTCGCCTATTCACATACAGTAAATACTCTTATAAACATAATTCTCAAGACTAGACTCAACTTGCCTTTGGCACCCTCAGGAGGGAAAAAGGCTATTTTACCCCCCTCTCAACACAAGTACTTCATTGACCAAACCCTAAAAGTCAACGATCACACTTTGACTCTACTCGCCGAGTGCACTCTGGTGACTCGGTGAGTTCACACATGTCCTTTAACATTTTGTCCCGCTTGGCACGCCGAGTCCCTCCTTATGCTTGACAAGTCATACTAGGCATGAATCGCGCGGCCACCATGACTCAACTCGTCGAGTCTCAAGAACAACTTGGCGAGTGCCGCCTGAACTCCAATCCTATAACTCCCTTCTGACTCACTGAGTCATCCCCCAACTCAGCAAGTCTACTCACTAAGCAATTTACGTGAAACCCTAACCCTACTCGCCGAGTCTCAGGAACAACTCGGCGAGTTCATGCCATGCACAAACTCTACTGGCCTCCTGAGATCAGATCTGTTTCCCTAAATCAAAGATATGGCCTTCCCAAGCACGAATGTCACGTAAAGCTCGAAACTTGATGCTTATATAACAAAAACAAGGCATCAAAAGGAGATTTAGTCCTAAAAATGGAAACCTAAGTCCAATAACCCCAAACTGATTCATAAAGCTCCAAGGGTTAAGGTCTCTGGACCTCTTTGAGTCCAGATCCAAGGCACAAACTCGAAGAGGGACCATTTGCTCCACATAATCACTCTCCAAAGGGGTTAGAAAACCCTAACTCTAATGATCAACACCAAAACTAAAGGAGGTTCGAACTATTACCTCAAAATGAAGTCTCTGAACTCTGGAACTGCAAGAATCGCACCTTCCCTTTGCTCTTGTTCACCTCCTTCTTGCTAAACCAAAGGTACAAGGATCAAAAGTGACTTCTTCTTCCTCACAACAATTTGGCTCGCTTAGGGTTCTCTTAAGGGATTGGTAGCCGCAATGAGAGGCTATAAGTGCCCTTAAATAGGCTCCAACCCCAGGGGATTAGGGTTTCATTAAACAGCGTGGACTCACCGAGTCCGGACGTGATACCGGATGAACATCTGCGACCCTACTCGGCGAGTCTTGGCTCCAACTCGCCGAGTTCCTCCACAAACTCCAAAATAATTAAATAAAATAATATACCTGGAAATCTGGCTGTTACAATAGCAAGTGGTAGCGGGAAGGGAAAGGATAAGACTCATACTTGATGACGACAACATGCTTTGAAGAAGATGTAACGCTCCAAGTGGTTATTTAAATATCTTTTTCTTCTGCTATTATTTAATATGATTTGAGTATGTAGATTTTAATATTAGAGGTTACTGGGACCATGTTGATATAAATTGTGTATTTGAAATTTAGGGTGTTACAATGCACTTATTATTTTTGATAAAAATGTTCTCTGTTAGATGAAATAATATAAGATGATTTATTTATAACTTACCATATATGCCTTTTCATACCTATAATATATTGGTTAGTGAAAGGTTATAGAAAGTAAAATATGATGATGAGTTGTAGCCAATATGGTATTTTTGTACTACTAGAGATTAGTCATCTAGTAGGATATAAAGGTAGTGCCACTAATTATTCTAGACAAATCTGGTTAAACATGGACATGGTTGCAACTTGTAGGTGTTTATAAGTCATACATTGTCATGTTTACAACCTGTAGGTGTTAATCGATCATACATAGGAAGGTTTATAACATGTAGATGTTAATATATGGTATGCAGACATGTATATGACCTGTAGGCATTGATGAATCGTATGCGGACATGTCTATGACCTGTAGGTATTTCTAGATTGTACATGTACATGTACCCGACTTGTAGATGTTAAGGAACCTCATACGGACATGATTACGAACTGTAGGGATGAATGAATTATTCATGTGGGTACTCTGTTCACCTAATGGTTGTCTTATTAATACATGTTGCTAAGGAATCCTTGAGGCATCGTTGTCCACTTAGATATTCTTTAAGATGGATCAATTGAGATCATCAGTTTAGGATCATACAGTGAGAATAACGAAAATTGGTAATCGGGTTATTTGATTCGTGTGAAATATATAATTAAAACAAATTAATTATATTAACTAAGTCTGACCTAGTTAACTTCTTTGTATCACTGGTAACAATACTTAGGTACATAGATAGTGATGTTTAGATATGATAACATATTCGAGGAAGAGTAGGCCATTATATAATAAGATATTATCAGGCCCGTAGTGACTATGTTTATTCTTATGTTTCTTATATTAGTTATAACATCCTAAGTTTTTAATAATCAATGAAAAAACATTTCTTCGGAAATACTTTTTATGAGACAAATTCCGCATTCACAAAAGAATACATTGTTTTAAAATAAGCATAAAAAGGTCTTTTCGGGCCGTGAAAAATATAGATCTTACAACCAACCCATGAGTAGTTTTCATATTGACAAAGTTGTAAGCTACATTCTATGAAAATGGTAACCTTATCGCTCCAAGTGGTTGCCAATCTTAGAAATCCTGATACTCCTGCTTCATTGCTTCAGGTTTCCTTTCGGAATATGGTTCATGTAATTTCTTTTGGTAAATGGAGTCTTTGATTTTTGTTTCCTGAATCCAATATCATAACCATTAAATTTATCGATCTTAACTCTCCCATCTATAGTCATAGCTCTGATACTAGTATTTAACTTTGTTCGGTCAAATTGACCTATATCCACGGGAAAACGCACATGCACACATTCATGTGTGTGTGCGTGCGCGCGCGCGGAGAGATTATTGAACTTTCAAGAACTATTACAACCACTGGATGATACACCTCATTTGAGCTCCAAACAAAAGAATCACTCTTTCTTACAAACTACTCCTAAAGGTGTCCTCTCACAATGATTGTTCTCTTGGAATGCTCTATACAGGATGTTCATATATGATTCCAAATACCAAAACACATTTGATCAAGTCTTCACACTCTAACAGTTTTTCCCTAGGTTCTCGTCAGTTTGTGATTTATTAAAATTTTATGTTGTTAATTAGAGCAACAATTTTTTCGGTTATTAACATTGGAGGGAAAGATGGTTTGCCGTATAATAATTTCTGAACAGCTACGACCTTTCATGAAGCATTGCAATTACCAGAATTTAAGTGATATAAGTACGTGTCTTGTCTTCATTATTTGATTCACACCTTTCTAGCTCCTTCATTATTTGAGTGACATAAAGGTTCCCTGTCTTCTCTTAAACTAGAGAGGTCCTTGGAGGATCCTAGGCTCAATTCCATCAACGACCTAATGGGGACTTGATATCCTTAAGGATAGTGATTTTATCTGGTCCTTGTTTTATAACAGTATATATACAGTCTAAGGTTAATAATTAAGGTAGTAAATTATTTAAATTCACACAATATATGTGAATCTGATGGTTGAAATATTTTTAATATGAATTTGTTACCCAACCTATCTAACCCGTATTTCACAATCTATAGTTGTTACAAAGTGCTTTAGTGGTCCAGATAGTTGGGCATCCTATTCTTTTTATAGGTACTCCTTCCACCATAGAAGCTTCCGTAGTTGGCCTCTTTCCGTTGCAAACAACTTAATGGAGAATAAAAAAGGTTCTGCCCTCTCCCCCCACTTATGGATCGCTTATTGGCTCTATAGATGGTCCTCTTCAGTGTTCAACCATGTTCCTTTCTGTGAAGGCCACTTTTGTTGTTTGGCCCAGAAGTCTTTCCCCACTACCAACAGTTGTATGCTTTTTTCAAGTATTCTGTGGTGGAAATCTTTTATGGTTTTGATTCTATGCCTTCTATTGTTGCTTTTTTGAAGTTTGCTCACTTCATTAGCAATTTGTTCATGCATCCATTTTCTATCCAGATTGAAAACAAACATACAAATTGGGTGGTAAATCAAGCCAAAAGCCAAATAATATACGATTTTATGAATCTTTATTTGCTTTATAGTTTATCTATATCGATCTTCTTGGTAATACAAATGTGTCCATTTTGGTAGATGTTAAATGTAGAGTTTGGCAAAGCACAATAGCACATGATATGGGGACAGTGTAGGTTTCTCTTGTCAATCATAACCTGGCAAGAATTGCTTGTACATTTTATTTTTGATTTGTTTTTGAAATCTATTAATCTTGTCTTTCAGTATAAACTCTATCCTACGCCTTAGATTTCCGAGATAAGAGACAGATTCTTTTAGTTTCTTAAAGGAAAAGATGCAAACGGGTGGGGAATAGGATGATCAGCACATGGGGATGTTGGTGCATGTTGCTTTTTCTCTATATTGAAATTCTTTAGTTATAGGTCATTATGTCATATTGTCTTAAATGGGTCGGGTAGCGTATCAAATAGATAAAGCTTAAGTACAAAATCACAATGAGGTAGTGACGTCCCAAAGTTCTTTTTATTTGTATTTGATTTTTATAAATAATTAATTGTTTATTATAAAAAATAATAATTAACCTATAACTTTCTATGTAAAACAATTTTAGTATTCTTTGACTGATTTATACAACAATATTCTATCTTTTTATCAATTTACACGACCAAGTTCCGACCCTTTTACGGACATCCACACTTAAAATATTACATACCAACAATTATTTAATTAAACCTCCTAAAATTTATCAACTTGAACGATTATTAATATTATAGTAAAATTAAAATATAAATAAATTGACTTGTATTGTAAAGAGGGAAACAAAAGATGTGCGAAGTTGAGTTATATGTAATGATAGAGCTTCATCTGGCATTGCCATGTGCATCTAGCAACTAGGTCCACTTCTCATTATTTCTCATCTATTCTCGAATTAAACTATTAATCTAACTCTGTACTTCCATATGTCCCTCCATATGTTTCTCTCTCTTATACACAATATATGTACGTATTCATTTGCATCTTTCACATTTCTTATATCATATACGTTCCATTCATTTAATCACAAAAAAGATTTTTACACAATAATTTGATATAGAAATGCCTACGGTGAACAGCAGCAGTCCAGCACCTTGCAGCACGAGATCATGGTACCTTTTCGACAACTCCTTATAATCTCCTGTACTTTCTCATTGATTCATTTGATATATCACACACGTCACTTCATATGATTATGATTACATTCTTGTTTTCATAATTGAAAGGTCTATCAGTGATGATTCGTTAAGGAGGTTCGTCTTCTTCGCTAGTGAGAGCTGTATACAAGATCTATTATCTGCTTCAGATTCCAACAGAGCTGGAAACGGGAACGATGGATGGAAAGTACTGGCTTTTGAAGACGGAGTTGAGATATCCAAACGGAGGTCTGGATCTGGATCTTTTCATGCTTTTAGAAGCCGATGGTTGCTTAAATCCGTGTCGACTGAACAGTTTATCACAGTTGCAAACGCCATTGATGCTGCCAAGGTAAATGATCGAAATCCAGCTTCAACTCCTTTTTCAAAACTACAATAGAAATTAGAAACTGTTTCTCATGAACATGTATGAACAGCAATGGGACTCGGATTTGGTGGAAGCAAGATACATCAAAGATCTTGATGAAAACCTGAGCATTATACGACTGAGATTTGGGGAGAGTGCTAAGCCTGTTTTCCGTAATCGAGAGTTCATTGTGTACGAGAGACGCGAAACAATGGACGATGGGACTCTGGTAATTGATGAATCAATTAATTAATGCTCTGGTTTTCGTTTTATCGTTTGTAATTTGATCTGAAAGTGAAAGTGATGATCGATATATGGTTATATTGAAGGTGGTAGCTGTAGCTTCATTGCCGAAAGAGATAGCTGCAGGGTTGCAGCCAAAGCAGAATAATTCTATAAGAGGGTTGCTACTGCAATCAGGATGGGTTGTCGAAAAGCTTGATGATGATTCATGCATGGTGACTTATGTAGTTCAGGTATGATTCAAGATACAATTTTGCAAAATACTTATTGATTAATTATAGTCGATCGAAGTTATAAATATATGGTATATATATGATTTTGCAGATGGATCCTGCCGGATGGTTACCGAAGTTCTTTGTGAATCGATTCAACACAAAACTGGTTATGATCATTGAAGACCTTTGGAAACAAGCTCAAGCTTGCTCTGCCATTCCTTCCATTACTGATCCATCATGAAACAAGGGTCTACAATTATTATAGTGATACTGAGTGAATACGGTTTACGTATGATTGTATCATGTCATGATGTTATATATATGTATGATAGAACAAATCAATCAATTTTGAAGAGTAATGATAACAAGTGTGAAGTGTCCACCTCTTGTTAATTTGAAAACAGAGAAAAACATTCGCCAAAAAAAAAAAACATTCTACACTATTCATCTTATGATGTTTATTTTGACAAATAATTTAACTAAAGCTAAAATAACATGTTATACCGCATGATCAAAACTTATTTTATACGGAAAAAAGACAAAACGAGATTTTTCTAGCACTCTGTTTTTGTATGTATTTGTGTGAAAGGGGAGCGACAAATTGACAGATTGAATACTCGTTTCTTACTTTGTGTCTACTTCAAAACATACATATGGTTGAAGATATATGTTAATAAGTACCCGTGTGTATATACATGTTCATCTGCATCTACATGTACATGTACATAAATATAATGAAAGCATGTGAGTGACTGATCAAATGATGGTGGATGTATTACATGTGTTCAAACAGTTGCATGTGCATGTGGCAGGTCTATTCAAACGAAACGACCTCGTTTCTTAATTAGGTTAGATAGAACATGCATGCACCTCGCTTAACCAAGTAATGCCCACTGGCTCTCTCGGGTTGTTGATCAATATCATCAAGGCCGGTAATGAGGTACGATGACAGCAGCGATGGTCATGGCCACCACCCTATTCGTGTTTATGAGGTAATCAGAATATGTACATAAGATATACAGTTTGAATAAGTCCTGTTTTTTCTATTATATTTAACTTCAAAATTTCCAAAAGTTCTTACAATAATTTATTTTTGGGTATACTTAAATGTATAAAATAACAATTTATATTTACATGTATATATGTTTGAAAATCCTTTATTTATTTATTTATAGTTCAACTATATTAATTTTGAACTTTTTTTTACTAAGATATTATATTTTGAAAATTTTACATAACTGCAATATTGTATTTTTTTTTTTCTTTTTGTTCAATACATTGTATTTAAAAGATCTATAGATTATCAATGCATACCCCGAAACTCGGATCCAGAACCCGGATCCAATCCATCTTTCTTTTATGTACATTATTCACATGTTTTTTATATTTAAAATTCTAGATAAGAATAAATTTAGTCTTCCACATTTGTTGTAACTGATCCATTGTATTCGGATCTCTCCTTGTATATGTACCGATTCAATTCATTGTGAAATATAAGTTTTATTCACACATTTATATGGTATCAGTCAGGCCGCCTTTTTCCCCCAAATAGCTTTCTTCATCTTCAATCTGATGGCTATTGATTCCAGCTCTTCCTCTTCCTTCATTGGATCTCTTCCCCTCTCCACAAATTCTTTAACCCTAGTTCACTTTCCTTCATCACTGAAATTGAACCCTAGCAATTACATGAGCTGGAAGACTCAAATTGAAGCCCTACTCTACGGTTTGGATCTCTACAAGTTCATCAATGGCACTCACCCTTCCCTACCGCCCACAGTGACTGCTGAAGGTGTTTCCACCCCCAATGCTAATTATCAAGCTTGGTTTCGCCAAGACCGCCTCCTTTTTGGTGCAATTGTCGGTGCTCTTTCCCCCACAATCGTTCCACTGATCACAAGAGCACCTACTTCTCTTGAAGCCTGGAAAATCCTATCAAACACCTATACCAAACCATCAAGGGGCCATATTAAACAGCTTTAGCATCGCCTAAAACAGACCACCAAAACATCTGATCAACCCATTACCGGCTACATGCAAACCATCAAAACCATTGTTAATGAATTAAGCATACTGGGCAAGAAAATGGACCAGGAAGATATCACAGATGCAATTCTCACAAGTTTAGACTCTATCACTTATAAAACTGTCATTGAAGCTATCCAGGCACGTGACACACCAATTTCTTTCTCTGAACTTCATGAAAAACTTATCAATCATGAACTCACTCTCCTTCAAGCATCCCCCATTCCCACCACTATTCACCAACCCACTACCGCATTTGTTGTTCACAAACGCCCCCCCCCCCAACAAAAACTGGAATCACTGTCCCAACCCAAACAATAACCCAATCTTACCCACCCCTACCTCAGCCCCATCAAACAACAACAACTCCCCACGCCAATTCCTTGGAAAATGTCAATATTGTTTTACCAAAGGTCATTCCTTAACCTCCTGCTATGCGTTCAAGAACAAGCACCCTCAAATTGCCTTGCCATCTATACCACGCAATACATACACTGTCAACCTAGCTCAAGCATAACCTCATGTTCCCTATACTCCCAACAACAATCCCAACTGGCTATTTGACAGTGGAGCATCGCATCACGTTACTAACGATCTTAATGCACTGTGTCTCCACACACCTTATAATGGTACTGATGAGTTAGTTATTGGTAATGGTTCGTCTCTTAGTATCTCTCATATTGGCTCTCTCTCCTTTAACTTCTCTAATATAACTTTTACTCTTACTAATGTCCTCTGTTTTCCTTCTGTTTCCAAAAACATCATCTCTATTTCTCAATTATGCATTGATAATCCTATACTAATCCAATTCTACTCCTTTTATTTTGTCATCAAGAATCTCAAAACACAACAGACTCTACTCCACGTAATGGCTAGTCAAGGCATCTATGAGTTGCGTTCCACACATCCACATCTGGCTTTTCTCTCAAATAAATCCATCCCATGGCATCACAGACTTGGGCATCCACATCTTAGGGTTTTTACAGCATTTAGCTTCTACCATCCCTGCAATTACTTCATTGAAAAATAATTGTAATTCTTGTTGCATTAATAAAAGTCACAAGCTCCCGTTTCATACCACTTCTCTTACTTCTACACGTCCACTTGAATTAATTTTTTCAGATGTTTGGACTTCTCCAATCCAATCAATAGATGATTACAAATACTACATCATTTTTGTTGATCACTTTACCAAATATACATGGTTGTACCCTTTGAAACACAAGTCTGATTCTCTAAACACTTTCATACGTTTTCAGAATCTTGTAGAAAACTTCTTTCAAGTTAAAATTAAACAATTCTTCTCTAACAATGGAGGAGAATATATTAAATTAACTTCTCATCTTGCCTCATGTGGTAGCTCCTACCTTACTTTCCGTCCACATACCCCTGAACATAATGGGTATGCTAAAAGAAGGCATCGTCACATAGTTGAGACTGCCTTGTCTCTTCTGTCCCATGCTCAAATGCCATTAAAATTTTGGACCTATGCTGTCACCACAGCCACCTACCTAATCAATAGATTACCCACAAACACTCTTAATAATAATTCCCCATATTTCAAACTCTTCAACAAAAATCCAAACTATAAGAAACTCAGAAGTTTTGGTTGTCTTGCTTACCCATGGTTACGTCCTTACACTAAACACAAACTTGAATCCTGCTCCAAACCTTGCATCTTCATCAGCTATTGCTCTTCACAAAGTGCATACCACCTTCTAGACCCCCTTACAAACAAAATATATACCTCTCGTCACGTTTACTTTGTGGAAACAGATTTCCCCTACACCAAACTCACAAATACATCTCCAACTTCCATCCCTGCACCAGACACTTGGCTGCATCTACAATTAATTCCAACCTCACCCCCACCACATCCTTTGCCTCCTATCACACCACCCCCATCTCCTCATTCCTCACCAGAACCCTCTCCACCATCCACACCATCTCCTCCACCTCACTCAACCTCGTCTACCCCACACCAATCTCCATCCTTATCCACTGACTTTAAAGAGTCTCTCCACTCACAGTCTGATCCTACTCCACCCACAACAACTTCTGCACCCACTCACTCTCATAACAATAATCAAATTGCCACTTGCAAAAATCCAAAACCAAATTCAAAATACCACAATGATGATTTCATACTCTACCATGCTACTCCCACTTCTTTCACAGAACCCCATATAATTACTCAAGCCTTGAAACAACCTCCATGGCGCAAAGCTATGCAAACCGAGTATGATGCTCTCATAAACAACAACACTTGGACACTAGTTCCCAGTGATTCAGCCCCCAATCTCATTGATGCAAATAAGTCTATCGTACTAAATACAAACCTGATGGTTCCCTTGATAGACTCAAAGAAAGACTTGTAGCTAAAGGCTTTCATCAATGACCGGGACTTGATTATGTTGAAACTTTCAGTCCGGTCCTCAAACCAGCCTCCCTTAGACTTGTTCTCTTTTTAGCCACTTCTCAAAACTGGTGCTTACGCCAATTAGATGTAAATAATGCTTTTCTGCAGGGACATCTCACAGAATCTGTCAACATGTGACAACCTCCAGGTTTCATTGACTCTTATTTCCCAAACCATGTTTGCAAGTTAAATAAAGCCATTTATGGTCTTCGCCAAGCTTCGCGAGCTTGGTACAATGAACTCAAATCTTTTCTACTTTCTTCCAACTTCCAACCAACCATCTTTGACTATTCGCTGTTTGTCCATCGGTCCTCAGTTTCCCCTATTTACATCCTTATTTATGTAGATGATAATATAGTCACTGGTCCAAACTCCCCCTATGTTTCATCTTTCATCACTTTCCTTGCTAAACGTTTTTCTCTCAAAGATCTAGGAAATCTTTCTTATTTCCTAGGAATTGAAGTTGTGCATCATTCTTATGGACTTTTTCTTTCTCAATCCAAATACATCCTTGATCTTCTTCACAAAGCCAATATGACTGATTGTAAGGCATCAACCACACCGATGTCAAGCTCTTTACCTCTTACTATTGATGATGGTAAACCTATTTGAAATGTTACAGATTACAGGTCACATGTTGGAGCACTTCAATACTTGTCACTTACAAGACCAGACATTGCTTTTGCTTTCAACAAACTCTCACAATTCATGCATCGCCCAACAGACTTACACTGGACAGCTCTCAAAAGATTATTGTGATACCTACATGGCACAATGAATCATGGTCTCCTTATACACCGCAAGTCTCCCATACATCTCCATGCCTTCACTGATGCTGATTGGGCAGGTGACAAACAAACCTACTGTAGCACTTCAGGTTACATCGTGTACCTTGGGTCTAATCCAATCGCTTGGAGCTCTAAACGCCAACCAAATTTAGCCCGTTCTTCCACTGAAGCTGAATTCAGGGTTGTAGCATCCACAACTACTGAAATACAATGGTTGATATCCTTATTATCTGAACTTGGTTACAAATCCATTACTACACCAACCATTTTTTGTGACAATCTCAGTGCCACACACTACTCAGCTAATCCAGTTTTCCATTCCCGCATGAAGCATCTAGCACTTGATTTTCATTTTGTTAGGGAAAAAGTGCAAGTCGGTTCTATTCGTATC